TCTTCGAGATCTTGGGGAAGCTCGTTACTTTTTGGGTTTAGAACTACATCGCAGTTCAGATGGGGTGCACCTATCCCAACGTAAATATATTCATGATCTTCTCGTTAGGACCAAGATGCATGAGGATAAACCCGTTCATACACCGATGGCAACATCTACCAGACTTGATGTGAGTAATGGTTCTCCTCTTCCAGATGCCACCGAATATCGTAGTGTGGTGGGGGCACTGCAATGTGTTACCCTTACTCGGCCAAACATCAGCTTCTTAGTTAACAAAGTTTGCCAGTTTATGAAAGAACCCACTGATGTTCATTGGAGTGCAGTCAAGTGGATCCTTCGTTATCTCAAGTCCACAATTGATCATGTCATTACTTTTTGTGCTTCTCCAAAATTGGCTCTCGAAGCCTTTTCTGATGCTAACTGGGCTAGTTGCTCTGTTGATCGTCGCTCTTAAGGTGGTTTCTGTGTTTGTCTAGGTCATAATCTGATTTCATGGAGCTCTCGTAAACAGTCCACGGTTTCTCGCTCCAGCACAAAATTAAAATACCGTAGTCTTGCCTTTACTGCCGCTGAAATTCTTTGGCTCCAGATGTTACTCACGGAGCTTGGATTGAAGCTCCCTCGCCCACCTGTCATCTGGTGCAACAATTTGAGTGCCAAGTTTCTCTCCTCCAATCCTGTCCACCATTCTCGCACAAAGCGCATAGAATTGAATGTTCACTTTATACGGGAAAAAGTTGCGGCCGACCTTCTGTGGATCAATCACATTCCCAGCCATGATCAGATTGCAGACATTCTTACTAAACCGTTGCCTTCAACACGGTTTCATGACCTTACAACCAAGCTTACCGTCTCCAAGAGACCGCTAAGCTTGTGGGGGGATGTTAGAGTATCTCAATAGTTATGATAGACTTGTAACTAGGATGGGTATTTCTGATAGCTATCCTAGATAACTGATCATGGTTATCTAGGATAGCTATCCTATATAACTGATCACCTTATCTCATTATTGTGTAATTTCTTAGATAAACTCTAACTCTAATTATTATCTTCTGTACATAGTTATCCTCTTATAACTTCTCTATTTAAATGATTCAAGAGACCAGTCATCATTGACTCGGTCATTCCATTCTCATTGTTTTTAGTATTACTCTTATACTTATTATTCAAGGAATATATTCTTTCAAATTTGTTTTCTTGATTGAAGAAACCAACTTGATGCTCAACCAAAAGGAAAGGTTCTGGCATTCGATCTGTTTGTAGCTAGTCGGCCATGTGAACGAATGGATGACTCGCATCTTTTTCCAAGTTGGAGACAACCAAATATTTGGAACCTGGAAAATTAATTAATCTTCTTTTCAAAAGACAAGAAATAAATGGATCAAACAGCAGCTAAACAGTGAAAAGTAGAGCCACAGTTCACATGTGTGAGAACAATACGAGGTACAGACTTGGTACTTGAAACTGGGTGGCAAAGCTTTCTGGCACTACGCCTACCTCATGAATATTGAGAAGAAACTACGGATGGGCTTTCAAATATGCTTCTCACGTCCTCTTCAACATGCAGCAGATTCTCCAAAAACAATAATAGAAGTGCATATACTTGGTTACTGAACTCAATAACCAACAAACTAGTTCTTGGAAAGAGGCCAAGTTGTTGAACTCATTCTTCTTTGGGGAACCCATTGAACGTTTGAAACCTCAATCTCATAAAAGCATTTTTCAGGAATCTGGGTCTAAGTTTCAAATGATCCACCTCAGAAGGCACGTTGATAATTAAACTTTTTTTTTTATGGGTAAAATTGTATTTTAATACCTGGTTTGTATTTTGGAGTTAGTAGCTGAACTTCAAAACGTGCCACTAAACTACCTGAACTGAACTGTACCTGTCATTAGTTATTTATATCATGCGACATGTGTGGCTTAATTTTTTATAAATACCAAGGCTATCCTTTTTAATATTTTTTAGACCATTTTTATTTGATTGTCTTCTTCGTGACGACGACAAGAATTACACATCTTCGGCAATCATGGCGGTTTAAATCTCTCTTCTTTGGTAGAAAGGATAGGGCATAAATTGAACAGTGGTGCCAAATATCAGCTGAAAGGGATTTAAACACGGCTATTTGGTAATTTGAAGGGGTATTTGTGTCCTTTTACATGGCATCTTTTATCGGTTAACAATTTTGGACTAAACTGTCATATTTCAAAAGTTCAGGTACTGCGGTGGCACGTTTTGAAGTTTTTTGTGCCAAAGTGAGATTAGCCCGAAAGTACAGAGTACTAAACTGCAATTAATTTAACCTTATTATTATTATTATTCCTAGGGTAATCTTGAATGAGGTAAAAGCCCAAGGTTTTATATAGTTGCGTTCAAATTTAGTTTTCTCAACTAAGAATTACAGGTTCAACAAATCAACCACTTGAGTTCCTCTGTAGGAAATGAACCATGTTAAGCTTAGAGTCAAACGTCTTACAAGTGAAGCTAAATACTAGTACACTGCTTCCTTTTAGTTGTAGCAATCAATTCCCAGCAGATTTGACCAGATTGTTGTATGACCCAGGAAATGGTTTAATCGATCAGGAGTTGCCACTAAACTTCTAATGCTTAATCTGAACACTGCTTCTTACTTACATTTACCTCTCATCTCTCCGTTTACTAAAAAGTAATAAAGCAAAAGAGCATGTATACAGTGATAAGCAAACCAATAACATTTTGATGTGTACACAGCTGCTGTTGGGCCAATGATCTTCGGCCAATGTAGGCTCTCAAATCTCAAAAAACACTGTTTGATTCTGCTGAGTAAAACTGAATTCACAAGTGGATGACAAAGGCCTAGTTTAGTTGTTAAGGGTACAGAAGTCAGTGTTTCAGGATAGAAGATGAGATGGACTTGGGCCATGGTTGGTAAGGTAGCAGAGTAGCAGCCATCAGCTCAGGGCCCAGAAATTAGTAGTCCTTGAAAGTAGAGGCCATGGTCATGGTGAATAAGCTTTTCTCAGTTCTCTCATGCATATATGCCTCCTTGTTTTTTTAGATGATTCTCTTACCTTACGGGTAGCTGCTTCCTCAGTGGAAAAAGATTCCTTCCATTTTCGTAGTCTTGTGCTTTTGGTAATTTGGAATTATTCTCAGGAACTTCTGGCTGAGGCCTGAGTGGCAGAAATTACAGGGTCTGTTGTTCTAATCACGCTCACCACCTTCCTGTAAGCACTAAGCAGTAAGATTCCACCATCTATTCGAATTACATCATCCAGAGTCATTCTGTAAAGCATAAACAATGAAATTCTGGCGTAAGCATAACTTCAAATCACGCTCCAGTATAAACCCAGTACAACTCCCATGAAATTCAAATTTCTTAGCTTAATTTCTTTCCCTCTGAGTTCTGGTGAGAGTCACAAGTGAACAATACAGGCTTGTTTTTCTGCATTGGCTATTTAGGGGACGTTTCTATAACATGAATGTTTTTGTTTTCATTTATTTTTTTGAATCCTACATAACCAAAAAACAAAATCATGTTTTTTCAAGTTTGTTTTTGTTTTCGAAGGAAAAAACAAGTTGGTATTGTTTCAAAAAACAGTACAAGTTTGTATAACCGACAAAATATTGGTTTTTAAAACGAAAACAAAATTGTTAATATAGAAATTATATGATTTATAGAATATGATGTTGAATAATAAGCTGAAAGCATACTTTTGAAACTAGATTCAAGAACATGTTTTTATGTTTTTTGGTTTCAATTTTGAAAACACATACACAACCGAGACATGTTTTTTATATATTTGTTTTTAGAAACAATCTGTTTTCACAAAAGACCGGAGTCCACCTTAATTACACTTTGTGAAAGTACTTTCTTCAAACAAGGGTGAAAAAGAATAAAAAAAAAGTTAAAAAACTCTAAATAAACGTTTTTGCTAGGTGGGCTGAAAAATCAACATCATCGGTAGAATTATTGTGGGTTTTAAAATCTTATCAATGAAATTCCTTTTTGATTTATTAATGGAGATCAACCTCATACCCCAGCGAAATTCTTTTGGCTTTTGATCTCTCACCAGTCACCTCTCACCAATGGATAAAAAGCCTCTTTTTTTTTTTTTTCTTTTACTCCTCACCGTCTCACTTGGTTCATCAATCTCAATGGAGATGAAGAAATATCTTGCTTTTCTGTCAACATGTCATACATTGATTTCCGATGATGAAACGTCCTGTTTCAGTCTCCTTTGCATCATCATAGGCGGATATGTGGAGAAATCCACTTCTGGTGCTGTAAAGCTCGCCTAAAAATCCAAGATAAAGATCAAGCTCAAGGTTGGAGATCAGGCTGTCAAACCATCAAAATTTACCACAAGCACTGGCATCAAGGTAAAACCGTATATGCAGTGTTTGAAACGAGGGATTCAGCTTTGGAGGTGACATAAGTCCACAATCAGGCCCAAGCCCTTGCCGACGATCCTGCCAGAACAAAGAATTGTCCATCATTATTTCACTTGGTTCATCCATGTAAATGGAGTTGAAGAAACATCCCATTTTTCTCTTGATACATCGATTTTCCAACGAAACCAAGATAGTCCTCCATCAGTTAAGACAGACAGAGGACCTGCAGAACCGGTGCAGGATAGAGAATGCAGGAGATCCGGACTCCCTAAAAGGTTAAGAGGGAGGCCATTACCCAATACAAGTCCTCACTTTAAAGGGTCCAGCATTTTTGTCAAGAAGTTGACCACTATCGGATTCAAGTCTCTGTTCTCACGCCTGTCGGCCCGAGATTTCACCATTGCACCAGGCAATGGCCCCTTGAGAGCTAATGATGGGATAATCTGCTTTGTACAAGCACAAGAGATGAATCAGATTTAATGTGGTCAGAAATGGATATTTCCACCAGACAAGTGTATTGTGTTATCAATATGACCATTACATGTACCACATCTCTACGGTTCCCCAAAACACTTGCCACCACTACCACAAAAGGAAAGCAACCATTTGGATGCTGAAGACTATATTATAGTCGTCAGAACAAGTGGCCTAGGACTGACGGATCAAATTTTTATATCATAAAGTCCAGATGGTTGAATAAACAAGAAAATTATCTTAAAATACAACCAATGAAGGCAACTGTTGAAAAGCTTATTGGCATGTATAGTTGTCCTCCGTCTTATTTGGGTATGACTAAAATATCCTTGATCAGTTGCATGAGTACATGGACCAGTTCTACAAAATAATTTCAAGGGGAAAATGCCGAATTTCTTCACAGCAGAAACCTCTTTTCTTTAGGAAGTTTTCAGAATTGTGATGTACAGTCTAATTCCTGCAATATAAAGTTTGAAAAATCAGTCAAATTCACACATAACATCTTTATATGAAAATGTGCTAATAGATCACCATGTAATGAGATATGAAACTTATGATCAATGCTTTAACACTTGATCATAGCAATCAGACGGATAACGTTTTGGAACATTATCATTTATCTGAGTATTCCAAATGACTACTACAGATAATTTAATAGGTACAACCATATGAATCTGAATGGATTGGTTTTGTTGCATGAAATCTCCTTAATGGAACCACATGCAAGGGTGATTCTACTACCTGCATATATGCTGCTTGTATTATACACACACACACATACATACAGCAGTTTACACAATATGGGCCTCTTTATGTCCTTAGACCTGATGTGCAGACTTCAGATTATAATGTTCACCCTCAAACAAAATGTTTAGTAGTTTCTGCCACTTACTGTTTCAAGAAGAGAATTAGCTAAGGAAACAGAGCCTGGTAGAGAAGCCCGGTGTTCTCTGGAAATCCCATCATCAGATTAAGATTCTGCAAGGCCTGACCAGAAGCTCCCTTCACTAAATTATCAATCTGCATCAAATTTTCCAGAGTCAAGTTCAACCCAGAATGAGAGCATGGGTTGCCCTCATTGCTACAACTAGAGAGAATTTTCAACAGAACATGTGAGGGAGTTCAACATACAACAGATATGATTATTGCTCTTCCAGGAATTCGATCCGGAAAAACATTCATGAAGCAATAGTTAGATCCTCGAACATTTCGAGTGTGAGGAACTGCTCCTTTCTCCAACAAGACAACAAACTCCTCATCCTGAAACAGACATTTAACAAAGAATTAGTAAAATACAACTTAAAACCACAGTTTTGGAGGGCCCAGTAAGATATCCCATTATCCTGCACGCTTTTCAACAAGTATATGTGTCTCAGATGGAAGTGTGGAAGCCACAACCGCAGTCCATTTAATGGATGTCACATGTAGAAGCAGGTAGAATGTAGATTCTTCCTGCCTACCCAAAAATGTTCCTTTATCCATACTTTTGGTTGTCAATATTGAAACTTTTACTCCAGAAAAAGCATTCTCACAGAAATCCATAAAATGCTTTATCATATTTGGTATATATACCTCATAGGAGATCCTAAGTTGGTGGTACAGATCCTCATATGTAACTCCTGGAGCCATTTCAACATATATTGTTGATTGCATTCCACGACTCTAATAAGCATCAAAAGTTAATAACAAGTTAATTATTTCTCTAAAAATATCATAAGTAATCAGAGAAGAGTTAATGTGTAAGATGTTAATTCAGGCAGAACTTTTACCATAGGCATTAGATGAGGAGTGAAGCTGACTGTTACTTTTGAATTTGAAACATCAGAAAGTCCCTGCTCAATTTCCGGAACTGAAAAAAAAATAAAAAAATGATTGCAGATTAACATCTATTGTCACCTAGCACTTCATACTTCTCTTTATCTTCAGAAATTTCCTTAATTAATATATAATACTAAAATTAAAATAATTGGCAGTTGGCCCAAATCCACAATAATCTACTATCCATGCAGAGTATCTAATATATGGATGTTTAAACAATTTTAAATGTTATGGGGCAACCACCAAATTCAGGTATTGTCATATTGGGCCCACCAAATTCTCTCTTTTTTTTCAAGAAAAAAAAACAAAAAAAAATAGAATTGAGTAATGAAGAGGGCTATATTGATAGGTAAGGGTGAAATGATGATGCTCCTTTAAGTCTGGTTTCATTCATCATCCATCCCAGCTGAGAGATTGTCCTCACCAAATATTGACATGATCAAATTGTTCTATCTGCTCTTTTAAAGTGTTCTTAGCATGTAAATAACACAGTTAACATGCATTTGTGGTCATCTGAAATCCATAAATATTTATTTTTGGACGTGTGGCATATGTACAGCCCAACTTTAGAAAACCTCTTAAAAATTGTCATGCCGCTACTAGGTCTAACATGGTAGACAATTGATTAGCTTAAGCAATGCCTAATACCCAAGCCAAACACCCATGTTTTCAATCTTATGCTTGAAGAATATAACAACACTGGATTATGTCAATAGAATGGACATTAGTTTTAATAATAGCTAAGCACTTGTATACTAAAACAGATAAAAAGAGCCATTTACCCATGTTGGTCCCAACTATCTGGGGTCCTGGGATGGGAAGACTGGATATGGACCCAACCTTTGGCATTTTTTGCACAAGGTGGCCTCCCTAGATTTGAACCCAGGCTGTGAGCCCAACATTTTAGCATTGCACCATGCAATGGACCCTTTGCATACTAAGACAGATGTTAAACTTAAATGCTTACAAGTGAGGATAGCTTTTTAATGTACTGTAGGAGAATCCAGTCTCTGAAAATACCATGACGGTGCTTTGTGATGCCATAAGAATTAATGCCTTCAGCTATTTCAGTGTATAAATTTGACTCCTTAGCTCCACGCCCTGAAATATGTACCTAATATCAGAAGCTGCTCAGAAATGTCACAAGTAGCTTCTCACATTTACTTCAAGAAATTGTAGCATAGATACAAGGGAGAAAGTGAAAGATGAAATGTAATATTGACCTGCTCCACTCACACCAGATTTTGAGTCAATAATAATATTTGTCAGTTTCACAAGATTAGCCTGCATCCAAAGGTAAATTACAGACTGTAAGGCATAAAAACACTAAAAACCATGTTTCTAGACCTTAATTGTGGATTTATGCACTAAACTGCCAACTTTTTTTCACTTTCAAGTTGGCAATACAAACTGGCAACCTTATATTATCAACAGGCATTTTACATTTAAAGAAAGGAAATGCTACACAACCATCAAAAAGGTTCCAGAGGAAAAAATAAAAGGTTCTCAAATGCTTCAGAATCCAAAAATTGAAAGAGAGAGAGAGAGAGAGAGAAAGAGAGAGAACCTTAGTATAAGAGACTGCATTGGAGATTTCAATTGCCTATACAGTTTGGTATTCTTTTCTTTTTCATTTTGGCATTATACATTTTGAAAGAGGTCATTGCTTGATGCAATGGTGAAATCTCAGGCTGGCAAGAATGCAGATTCAATTCTGAGAGAAGCTACTTTCTGCAAAAAATGCCAAGATTAGGCCCATATCCAATCCAGCCCTCCCAAGATCCTGGAAAGTGGACCGACATTGAGTTTTGGCATCTTTTCAAAATAGTAACCAACTTACTGCACAAATTGTGAAGTATCACCAAACATTTCTCATCTAGCCTCTGATTTTTTAGTTGATTCATAGTAGCAAAGGTCCTTTTCCCATCTATTTTCAGTTGGATTCAGAACCTAGAGTTTCTTGTATTTTCAGTTGGATTCAGCACCTAGAGCTTCTTGTATTTTCAGTTGGATTCAGCACCTAGAGCTTCTTGTATTTTCAGTTGGATTCAACACCTAGAGCTTCTTGTATCCTACTATAAGTATAATATAATGAAATTCCCTCCTGCTTAGACACTCTTATCCAAATATTGGAAAATATGTTATGGAAAACAAAGGCTCAACAATAGACCGTATAACCAACTAGAAGTACATAGAAAGAATGAATTTCAAGTATAACAGAGTAGATACAAAACCTTGATCAAAGGAACAAGAGGAAGTTGAATGGATGTAGGATAGCAACCAGGATTGGCAACTAGACGTGCATTCCGAATTTCTTCTCTTAAAACTTCTGTCAAACCATAAATTGCTTCTTTCTGCATCCAGATAAGCAAAATAGACTAGTTAAATTCATACCTCTTAACAAAAGAAAAGGCATAGAAAAAAGAAAACAAGAAAGTAGTTAAGCATATCCTAAATTAATACATGTCAAGCATGAAGAGATCAAATATACATATCAATCAACTCTGCCCAAGGTACATATCTGATGTGCAAATCATGAGAGAATTAAGAAATATGAATTACATAGATAGTCTGAGGAAAATGTTTTTTTTTCTGCAAAGCCCATGTAATCTTTTATTATCAATTAAATCATTTTTAACCTATCTACATTAATAAATGATTGCAAATTTATCAAAAAAAAAGGTTGCCTAGAAGATGCAAATACCTATAGGGAAAATGAAGAGTTAGTAAACCAAAACAAGGAAAAAATAATCATAGTGGAAACCAAAAAAAAAAAATCTGGTTGATGACATTCTCAGAATTCCTTCTATGAACAACTTTTCCAGCTACATTGAACTATTTTGGATCACTATAGTGTAAAAGTAGTTCAATAGCATTTAATTAAATTAAGACAATAATTCCTGAAAAATGAAAATATGCAATTTTTTTTGAAAAAATATGTATTGAAACTTTCAAAGAAATGAACCAATTATCATTTTCTAACAGAAATATTGAAAAACATAAGCAGATTTGATTACTGCTTGTAGTTGTGATAAAGAATAGGAGAGAATTTTTAGAAAACAATGAGCACCTGCAACTCTGGAGCCCTATGAGGCTGACCATACCATTCCTCATACTCATCAATATTTCTTAGCCGGAAATCCTGCAAAATCATCTCATTTTATTTTCTATACCAAGTACACTGAAACTAAAGAGGACTTCTTTGAAATGCATTTAACGAGATCATGAAATTAGACAACTAATTGTACTAAGAAGTGCAACCAAAGCATACTGCAGAAAGATCAACAATCTTCAGCTCCTTGGGAAGGCCCTTGATGATTTCCTGTCACAATAAGGAAACAGCAGGCTTAGTATGTTAAAGTTAGGTGGTCTCGTCATGAAAATAAAGTTACTATATGTCATATGGGCTCTGGAAAGGTAGGCTTCATCAGACCACAAAAACCCTCTCTCTGATTGAGCAAAAAGGATATGATAGAGATAGAGGACCTGGGTTGTTCCATGTGGCAGACAGCAAAATACAGCATCTACATTAGAAAAATCTGCATCTTTGATTGCAACCATATCTGGCAGGTTCTGAAATCCAATAGGAATTCAAGCAACAAATCTGTATTAGGAAAATTTGACAATTATGCCAAGGGTAAGAATTACCTTGCAGGATAAGAAACAAAAAGTGGCTTATTTCAGGCAACAATTAAAAAGATTTGCAGAGCAAAAATAAATAACAGTGATACCAAAAAGCTGCAACTTGCCAAAGCTTGGTTAAAAGGGGCATCTAATTGCTATAACCTTTTTATAGTTAAAGAAAGACCTAATTAATAAAAAGCAACACAAGGGTGAAGGAAGCTGTGCAGCCCAAGCAAAAAACAAAGAGCTTCCAAAAAATGCATGTCTACTTAGTGTAGTTTGATTACTTTTTGGTTGTTTGCAGGATTAATATTATAATGCAATGTGTGTTTGTTAATCTGCTACATAGAATGAGTAAACCATTTGCTCAGATTGCTTATTAATGTGCTTATTATTTATTTAGCATTTTCAGCATAATCAACAAAGGATAGTGGGATCAAAATACAAAAAGATATTAATTTGTAATTGACTTGAAGAATTGTATTTTCAGAAGAACTAGAGAGCCAGGGGCCATTGCTTGCTTCAATGGTAAAATCTTGGGCTGACAATCATGAGAATGTGGATTTAGGCTTTAGAGTGATCATTTCATGCCAACAAAAGCTGGAGGGATAGGTCCAGTCCAGACCTCCCAAGACCCCAGATAGCTGGGTGCCTGGGACCAATATGTGCAATGGCCTTGGAATGTGCTTCTATATTTTAATCCCAAGAGCAACCCAACATATCCTGACCCAGAGATGGGCTTTGGCAGGGATCTTCTACAACCAGCTTAGTTTGGAGCTTGGGTTGGGTCATGCATGGGTTAACCCTTCTACATCTGGTATTGGGCTTAGGTTGGACCTAAACCTACCCCAACCCTGCGCATGGGAGCAATTTATCTTTTAATAAATAAGCTCCCAGAACATCCATTTTCGTAACCACAAAGAAAGGAGAGTACTTAAAGTCTGATTAACCATACCTGTGTAACCAAATGAGGAAATACTGATCCTATTGATTGCCCTGCTTTTCTATCGGCAGTCATCAGTGTAATATCAAAGTTTGGATGATTGGCAATGAGTCGAACAATCTGCAAATAGGAGATAAGCTCATTAAAGCTTGAAAGTTGAAAATAATTTAGAAAAAAATAGAAAATAGCATTAAAAAATTTACATTCACAAAGAAATCATAGGCAAAAGCAAATTTATCATGTAGAAGTAAGTTCGTGAAAGTTGTAGCAAGAAAAAGGAAACTTTTGATAGGTCTAACCACATATTGTTGCAAATTATTCTCAGAATAGATATAACAACCCAAATCTGGATATCTTGTATATGAGGAACTCTTTTATCTTGTAAGTGAAGCATTAAGTATCTTCGTCAATTCATTGTTGAAGATTTTGATAAGGAAAGAATTTCGAAAAATTTACCTCTGAACCAGTATACCCACTTGCTCCAAGAACGCCAACGCGAACAATATCTTCAGATTTCTGTGCCTTTTTCTTTGCAAACTGCAGGCTCCGTGGAGATGACGCCACAGAACCTTTAATGCAAAACCTCCGTCCATCTAACTTTCTAACTGTCGAAATCTTCACTTCGTCCTATCGGTAGAAATGAACTTTCAGTGTCGGTACGTTCTCAAACATTTATATTAAAAAAATAGCACTCATGGGGGAAAATAAAGAAAATAAATAAAACCTAAATCCAAAAAGCCAACTTTCTCTTTATGAACTCAACAATGCATAAAGATTACGAACCTTCCAAAAGCATCCTCTGTCCAAAGAAATCGAACTGAACGCCGCCGAACTCATTTCGGAGGAAGTATAGTGACAGTTTCCACACGGGAAAGCGTTGAATAAGCACAGAGAACTGCGAAATGCTTGCGGCTTAAATAAGGATGTTTCTGGGGATTGCAGAATGTGATTCGAGTAAAATCGGAGAAAGTTTCAAATAATCAGATGCTCGGGAATACTTTATTAGAGATATGTTGAGCTTCTGGTACAAGTGAAATGGCTTCTCCAGAGCTGCAATGCCGCAACCGTTGTATCAGATAAGCTTCTGTCGGATTAGGGTTTCCTGTGAGGAGAATCGAAGGTTTTTTAGGAGTGAAAAAAAAAAAGTATCAGCATCACCCACACGAATGTGCAATGCTCATTTGCTTTAGATGAACAGCAGGGACCCGTACGAATGTGCAATGCACGGATTTTTTTATGGCAACAAAGTGGATTCGGCGAGGGTTTTATAAATTGGGAAATTGTTTTAAAACTCAATATAAGTTTTCAGTATTTTTCTTAAATTCATCACAACTTTTTAAAATGTCTAAATTCCACTATATCATTAACTTGACGCTAAACAGATTAATTGGTGTTAATATATTATCATTTTAACCTTTATAGAAAAATATAAAATATATATAAAATAAATTAATGGGTATTAATATATTATCATTTTAATATTTAGACATCAAAAAAAGGAAATTTTTTAAAAAATATTTTTAAATATAAAATAAATAAAAACATAAAAATTATAAAATATATAAAAAAATTATAAAAATTGCAAACAAAATAAAAAATTATTTTCAAATTATAGAAACTATAGAAATTGAAAAACAAAATTGGAAAATAAAAAATTGTAGAAAAACACCAAAAAATATAGAAAAACACAGAAGTTGTAAATAAATAACAAAAATACAAGAAAGTTTATAGATTGTAGAAAATAGAAAAATGTAAAAAAACAGAAATTATAAAAACATTGGAAATTATAACAAAACACTAAAATGCAAAAAAAAAACAAGAAAATTGAAAACTAAAAAGACCATTTTCCTCTAACTCACCATTCAAGGGTAATTTGGTCATGAAAGTTGTTATTTATGCTGACATGGACACCTATGTTAAGAAGCATTAACATTGCAATAACGGAATGTGAGTTTTGGAAAAAAAAAACTTACTAACATAGTGAGTTTTATACATTTTGAAAAGTTGTGGTGAGTTTAAGAAAAATGTTGAAAACTCACGGTGAGTTTTAGACAATTTCCCTTATAAATTTTATACTCTATCTACATAGCGGGTTGGATTTTGAGAATCCAAACCCTTCCCGTACATAAAAATGCAAAACCCACCCCGTATTCAAGGTAGGGGTGGGTTCGGTTTAAAATCCACATCTAATTTGTTATTATTTCTTGTTATATAAAAGCAATAAATAAGTAAAATAACATAAATAAACAACACAAATTCCAATTACTTGATTAAAATATAAAAAAACACATAAACTATCAATTATTCTTTACATCTAATTCAAAATATTATTAAAATCAACACTTAGTACATAAAGTTTATATGCTTTCCAATAATGTGCAAGTTGAGGGGTTAGGTTTACCCTAATATCATACCCTACTCGTAACATATGGGTTGTAGAACCCCAAAACCCATCATTTAGATAGAAAAAAACTTGCCCCGTCGAGGTGGGTAGGGGTGGATACCCACTAGGTAAGGTAGAAATTGCCATCCCTAAGCCTAAGATGCTTAGTTAAGGTTAAGTTGAGCCTAGATTGATAAACTTAGGCTTAACCTTGAATTAGACCAAGCTTGAGCTTAAGGTTTGAGAGTTGGGATTGGATTGACCCTCAACCCGACCCAACCCACTCAAGTTGTACCTAGTAGGGACCTGTGCGACGCACAGGCTTTGTTAAGTGAAAGCTAAACAATAAAAACACATAAGAGTAGACAATTGTTTTATATTTTAACCTTTTAAATAATTAATAATTAGTTATATTTTATATACTACTTTTAATAATTTTTTAAAACACAAAAATAACAATAATTAATTTCATCTAGGTTGTTCATCAAACTGGTGAAACCGACCAACATGATCCAACTTGACTCGAGTTGGTCGGTTTTCTAGTATTTTTGGTGGGTATCGGTTTAGCAATTTCCCAATCTAACCAGGTTGGGTCAATTTTGATTTGGCCATTTGTAAATCGACAAAAGGCAAATCGACCCAACCACACACACACACACACACACACACACACACATATATATATATATATATATATATATATATATATATATATATATTATAAATTTAATATATATTAAAAATTATATCAAATATATATATATATGATATAATTTTTAATATGTAAAAGTGAGAAAATTGCCATATTCCTTAGTCTAAAATGTTTTAAATTGTAAATTTAATTTTTTTTTAATAATACCACATTACCACTATAATTTTTAAATTTAATTTTTTAAGTTTAAATCTATTGAACCCACCAACCAAATCGAAATTTGACCCAAACTAATATAACCCAAGTTTTGGTTTTCACTAATGGTTGGTTGGTTTTGGGTGACCAATTCCCCAACCCGGCCAGATCAATTTGGTTGGCCAAACAACCTACAACTGAACTAAATCAACCTGTGAACACTCCTAATTTTATCTAAACTAATAGTTTAATCTCTAATAAATAACAATAGTTTAATCCCTAATAATTATTGAAAAATTTTCTATATATAATAAATACAAATTAAGATTTTAAAATTATTATTAATAAATATCAATTTTTTGAAAGTTATTTTCTAGAATTATTAATTGATATAAGTGAAGTAATGTTTTTATTATTTGTACATTAACAATTGCAATTATTATTTTATTTTTTAATATCTATTAAAAAATTTTTTGAAAGTTATTCCCTATTTTTGTTATTTGAAAGCTTTAATGCCTCTAAATTATTTAATCTATTTTTCATTATTTCAATAATATTTTAAAAAATAAATTATTTATATCTTATATTCTTATTATCAAATATTATAAATCTATTATAATTATTTTTGTGTTTTTGGTACAATTTTTAAGGTTGTTACATAATTTCTTTATTTAATCTGCTTTATTTTTAAATAATATTTAAAATATGATTTAGTTATTAATTTTTAATATTTAAAATTAGTTATTTACACTATTATTTATCTATTTAAATAATATAATTATTTAGTTATTTCAATATTACTTATTTACTGAATTTCATAATCCATAAAATTATAAGTTATACCATTATAATATTATTACATAATTTCGTTATTAATTTTGTAAAATTTACTTTTATTAATTCAAATATTATGAAATCTATTATAAAAATTTTCTACTTTTAATAAAATTTTTAAGTTTATTACATAATTTTGTTATTTTAACTATTTAAAATTTAATTATGTTAAATATTTTTTATTTAAAATATTTAGTTATTTAATTATTTAAATAAAATGTAAAATATTTAAAATTTTTCCTTAATTAAATTTTATTTATTTTAAAGTGATTACATAATATTAAATATTTTGTTATATAATATTTATCTATTTTTAGTATTTTGTAAATTTATTGTTAGTACATGATTTCTTTATGAATTTCATAACAGTATAAAATTGCTAATAAAAGTAAGAGTATAAAATTATTAATAAAAGTATAAAATCTATGATAATTTTTTGTGTTTTTAATAAATATTTTAAAGTTATTACATAATTTCATTATAATATTTAAATAATTCTTTAATTTTTTAATTCAAACTTTCTTTTGATAGATATAGATGAAAAGTGGGGGATAGGATAAATATGAATTAAAGATAATTTAGGAGAGAAACTCTCTACTAAATTAGAGATAATTAGGAATTATATATAATTTAGTAGATAAATAAGAATTATAGATAATTTAGGAGAAAGTGGGGGATAGTGGTGCCACTTGGCTAAATTAGATTAGATATTGGTAAAGAGAAATTTTAGGAATAGTTTTAGGAAGAGATATCCAAAGGGATAAACATAGAGGAAAGAGGGATGGGCCGGACATGCTGAGATGTCAAAATGAGAGAGGGATAAGTGAGTGATGAGGTGGCTTCATGAGGGAGCTGTTAGACAGTTTATGTATGCCCTTAGCTTCAATCCGATTTGATGTACTTTTGTTATTTAGTGGAAATAAATAAAGTGCATGTTTGATTCATGTTGTTTGGTTTAATTCT